GGCAATAAGTCACACCCTCCCCTCCCCTCCTCGGGCTTGGTACCCTCTCACCTCCCTTAATTCTTGGGTTTATTTGCATTATTGGGTGTTAATGTGCTACAGAGGTGCTGCCCGCTGCCTCCCCGGACCATCCGTGCTGCTGCGCTGGGGGGTCCCGGGCAGTGACACCCACAAATTGGGGCAGAAAGACAACCTTTATGTTTTAAATTTGGTCTGTCTCGTTCTTTTATCCCTCGTTCTGAACTGCTATTTGCTCTCATAAATCCAGGGTCTTTTTTCCCTCTGCCAAAGAAAGTCCCCCTCCATCCAGGCTCGACCTGGCACCTCTTGCACCGGCTTTCCCACCCAGCTACACATTTGGGGCTAAAATGAGATATTTCTTCTGTTTCCTTTCAATGTGGGATGGGCTTTTCCTCCCGTAGAGCTCCCACAGCGTGGGGGAAGGTGAGACGCCTGAGTCCATGCCGAGTTAAACACGGCTGAAGAGTTGGGGTTTGCAGAGGAAAAGCAACCCGGGCATCCTCGGGGACCCCGGAGCCAGGGCCCGTGGGCACCAAGGACCCGACCCCAACCTCATCCTTGACGGCACAGCAGCAACGGCCACTTCAGCCCCCGGGTTTCGGCCAGATCCTGAGTTAATTTTGGCAGCCCCCACTGCACACCGCGTGCCAAACACTACCAGCACTTGCCGTAACCCTTCCCAAAAGCCAAGCAACCAACTTCAGTATTATTTAATGTAAAACATTCACATCTTACTCTTCTAATCCTAATTTAATATTATTTGCAGTTGTGTCTCCCACCACACAGGAGTTTTGCAGCCGCCCGAGGGGCATCGCAGGACAGGTTAGGAGGGAGCCTATATTTTTTAGAGGGATCAGCTTGCAAGCCGTGAGTGGTTTGGCAAGGGATGAAACCTGAAGACAGCTCCCTAACGCCTTCCCCTTGCAGCATCACTCATCTTTATGGGGTCCTTAGGAGGCGGCAGCAATCCCCGCCGACAGCGGTTGTCACCTACAGTAGCAGTGACAAAAGACCCGGGCTCACGAGAGACACCTTTCTCTTGGGAAGGCAAAAGGAAGAGGCAGGGGGGGAACATTGCCTGGTTTTTGGCGCGGCCGAGCAGGAGCAGAGCGATGCGGGTGCAGGCAGGGAGGCAGCTTCGGGTGTTGCCTTCCCTTTCCTGTGCCTCAGTTTCCCCTCTGGCAAAATCACCCCCATGCTCCTGGGGCGTAGGGAGGAGCATCCCTTTACAACGAGCTTGAAGCGGGAGGAAAGCTTTGCAGAAGGAGGGGTTTGCAGCACTAATGCATCTCCCGTGGGACGGGGACAGGCAAAGTTGCGACCCTGCGGGAAGGGGCAGGGCTGGGGGGAGGCAGGTCGGTGCCGCAGGAGGGGACCCCGCTCCTGCAACCCCAGCAGAGGCGACTTCGAAAAGGGAAAAGGTAAGGTGGACACGTCAAGGAAAGCATTAAAGAATCTCCTGAAGGAAAAAAAGGTTTTTTTTTTTATTTTTTTTTCACTATAGTTCCTGCAACG